AGCGCAAGAATAGCTAGTTTTAGTAATGCAAAGTTATTTTAGGGGTTGAAAATAGCCTTCCTTTTCGATATAATATGGTTGGGTGATCCGCTCGGTTGCGTGATCCGCTCGCTTACCGATTACGTTACAATCTTTGTTCATCCATATCTCTTTCCCTTGAGATATCCTAGCCTGAAATGTTTTAAGCGGTGCTCATACTTCTAAATTTGTGACAGTATACTTGCCAGTATCACAGAATCGAGCGCATTGTGATTCAGGGGAGAGAGTAAATTAGAGAGACCTCTGACGCTGAATAGGTACACAAGATGAACGTCACATTGAGCCTTAACCTGATGTTATAGAAACAGAACGTATTTCTAGCTTGCAGCTCTTCCTCGTACTTGATTGAGGCAGGATTCACAACAATATGAGCCCCTCTTTTACGGACAGATCTCAACCTCTGAGATCTCTCGTATGCACCGCCAATCTGGTTTGCCAGACAATTAATCGTTCCCAGCTCGATTCGATTCCGATGTCATATACCCATCTTGTTATATTGATGGCTTGGCTCAGCCTTCAAGCTGCCCCAGCAGCGCACAATTCGGTTGTCTGGGTTAGGCTTACCTCGCTACCTTCTGAAGATCCTATACATTATGTTTGTCCAATGAATCGAGGTCACTTTTTGGCAATATCTAGCCGACATTTCATTACTTGTGAGGTAGACCCTTGCTGTAAAGCGGACGCCTTTTGCTATTCTATGGCACGATTAAACCGAGGGTGTCGGTTTCGTAAAGTGGAATCACAGGCTTAGCTTTACACATTGTATTTGGCCTCTTGTCATTCTCCGCATTTGCATAATGAGTCCCTTCTTCTCTTATCATTAGAGTAGATACTGACTGCATTTCACCAGGTTGATCTACAAGCCACATCCAGGCTGCATCACAAATGCTCCTCTTCCTGTGCAAACAACAGACTATAGCCACCCTACATGTGACTTATCCCACTGACACTCCCACATTGATCGATCCTTGATCCTCGTCTGACAAGTCTAATGCTCTTCTGCACTTCCAAAGGAATGACGGCATAGTCTGGTGGAACGTTCCGCCCAGTGACAAGCAATAACTAAGAACATGAGACCATTCTCCCATCTTCCTGGCTTTTCGAGGTGGACTGTGCACTTACACCGTACTGTCCGTGAGCTTCTGTGGCTGTTACACAACAGCGTTTCTGCCGTCAGCAAACGGTGCTCGAGTCAACTTGGAGAATAATCTCTAGCCTAGGTACGCAGGGGTATTGCATACGTCAATGCCATCGATCCGTTCCCGCACCAACTGTCAGTGTGCCCTCAACAACATTCCAGCTGATATCATCTTCGTTTGACATTCTCATTTTGGCTCGGCTATGTAATCTATCTAGTATCTACGTAAGTATGTCTTGTTGGGTGAGTGGGATTGTGACATATTTTGCATGTTACCTATGAAGATTCGTATCTTTTTTGATTGCAACATGGCGGATATTGAAATCTCACTCATCACGGAAGTTCTCGGCTGCTTTTTAGCGAGCTCAATCCCAGATGCATCTATGTGTATGAACAGCAGTAGCAGAGCTCGTTCCTCCACAGCATTTGTCCACGCAATACTCTAAAGACTTCAGTAATCCAGAGAGACAGGAGAGCCCTCTATCAACTGATGTAGGGATTGGCTAATCTGATTGGCTTGTCGGCTTCGGCCGCACCCACCGCCGAGAGGAAAAAGGCTCTTCCTCTTCGGGATGATGAGATGACTGATGACTGATGTCCCATAGAGAGTAAGGAACAGAACATTGTTTTATCATCATCATCATCATCAATCCATCCGGGCATCTTTCGGATAAATCGTTCAATGATGTATCGGTGATCATCAAGTAAACAAGGAATCATCGACTTGCCAATCATGCAATATGAGCAAGCGTCCGTACGAGGAGTCATTATCCCACGGTGGCTCACCACCAGAGCCTATCGATAACAGTCCCAATGGCCTGTTGCACATCAACGATCTCCTGTCACCGGAACCACCCCAATCTGCAGGCGGGCCCGTCAAGAAGCCTAGGAACTTCATCGCCACTGTAGTATGTTTTTGCCTTATGACGCCGTCCGGTCCATCGTTGACACAAGTATAGGCATGTGAGACTTGCCGCCTCAAGAAGACCAGGTGCGATGAATCGCGCCCGAAATGTGGACTGTGCAAGTCGCTCGGCCTGGAATGCGTCTACAATGAGCGCAAGTCGTCCAAGTAGGTCCCGATGGATTATAGCGCCTGGCGGATGCTTCTTGTCGCTGACACTATCTCCAGACGAGATCAGTCGCTTAGTCTGATCATGAGCACTCTTCATCGCCTGGAGACAAAGCTCGAGCACATCTCGTCGGCTGTTCGTGATGACATGCAGCCTCTCCATCAACAGATGCTCCATGCACTCGAGGGCCTGAGAGATGCAGCTACCGCGAGACAGAATGGCCGCGCCAGTGACAAGCATACGTCCTTGTCAAACTCGCTGTCGCAGCATCTCACCCCCGAAATGGGGGAGCCGGATGACTTTGTGTTTGATGAACGGCCCGATACAACCGACTCCAATGGCCATGTCTCGATTTCGTTCAGTCAACACGGCGTGATTCTCTGGCCTGGGGCTCGAGAAATCTTGCCCCAGAGACTTCTCGAAGCTCATGAACGACTGGGGAGGAACTACGTGATCGACATCGAGATGAAGCGCCCCCATCTGCCTATGTATACATGTCCGTATCCCCCACATGCCGGAGAGGACTGGCTGGAAGCACTGCCCCTGGCTATGATCAAGGGTCTTTCGGACGCATTCTTCGCCACTTTCAATCTGTTCACGCCGATCATGGACAAGAACTTCTATTTCGCTTTCACACTTGGTGCGGCGATCGAGAACGGGTTCGGCTACACGATTGAAACCTGCCTGGTCCTTAATGTGATGGCCTTGGGCTGTCTGGCTGTCCAGAGCTATCAGGAAGGAAACTTTCCTCTGCCAGGCACTCGAAGCAATCGCTTTGAACCGCCGGAATGGATGGGGGTCATCCACGAGGAACCGCCAGGCCTACGGTTCTTCAACGAAGCTCGAAGACGGATTGGCTTCCTGATGTGCGACAATGACATTCAGAGCTGTCAATTTTACCTCTTATCTTCGTAAGAGATTCGTTTCTCCCTGAGAGGAGCGCCTGCTGACCTTATATCGAAGTGTATACTACAGCCAGATCCTTCGTCCCATGGATTCATGGGCCATGATTCATCGCGCTGCTACGTGCTGTTTGTCAATGCTGACCAAGTAAGTCCTTCTACTTTACTTTCTGCCCTGCAAAGCTTTCAGCCACTAACAATCGAAGCCATGATGTCAATTTTGACCAGTGGGAAGGCGACATGAAATCGCGGGTATATTGGAACACTCTTATGAACGAAACCATCCTTGTACAGGAATTACATCTTCCACCCAGTGGCCTTTCACGTCTCGAGGAACTCGTCCCAATACCCAAATTTATTGGCTTCGACTCCGTCGGCTTCGTGCCGGCCCGCTTCTCCTCCTCTTCGGAAATAGATGATTCCTTCTTCCAATATCATTTCCTCGCGCAGGTCGCCCACCGCATCATCCTCACCCGCATCCGCCATTCACTGTACTTCTACTGTAAGTCCCCGCCCTCTTACCCTCTTCCTCCTGCGCTACCCGACACCTCTCACACTGTCCTCAGCCGATTCGGGAACCTTCCCCCTCCCGGCCGTTAACGCCGAACTCCGCCACCAACTCGAGCAATGGCGCATCAACCTCCCTCCCGCGCTGCAATTCTCAGACCCTCAACCCAGCACCCCGATGGACCCACACCCTTCCCCGGCCCCGGTC